ATATGGGAAAATTAAAACCCATTTTGTCCCTATTCTCAAGAATCACTGATTTGTCAGCATAAGGAACAATTTAAATGCTGAATGTCATTGGAATTTAAAAAAACAATCAAAATATGAGATTAAATGACTCCTCTAGCTTCAGTTTATCCATGTTTCTGTCGGAGCTGCTTATGATTAGTTTTACTTGTAGATCTCCCCAAGACGGTGTTAAAACTACAGTCATCCAATGCTTTCAAAAAATAAAATAAAAAAAGTTTTATGGAGCAGTGACGGAAAGAAAAGAATATGTCGTTGGCTTCAAGCGTGAGAGGAAAGAGGTTGGTGCTTTCCCTGAGAAAAATAGGCAAGAATAAATCTGTCACAGCTAAGAATGAAGGGCTGCAAAATGTCAACAAAAGAAGCGTTAGAGGCTCTCAGATGTGATTCCCAGCTTCGACTCTGACATGTTGATTTAGACCTTTGGCAGGAATCAAAACCACAAGCAGAGGCTGGTCACAGGAGCCTTAAAGTGAGTCTGTCTCCACCCACATGGATAAGTTTGTCTCATGTTCCCTGTTCGATTTATGCTCTCTAAATCTCAAAGAGCCGCTTCTCATCCAATCCCGTCAGCCCATTTCTGTGCTGGATTTGTTTGTGTTGCCGTGGTTACGATTGATGCAGCTAAAGAGTAACCCAGGGTAACAAGCATCACAGGGTTTCTGCTGTTTCTCACTGCTCTTCTTTTTCTGGGTATTTCACTGTAAAATCGAATTATTAATTTATGCATATTCATTTTAAGCAAACTAATTTCCATGGATAAATGCAAACTGTAAATGTAAGAGTTTGTGTTTATTTCACAGAAATCAGAACACTACTTACTGACTCGAGTAAAATTAGTCTTCCTCATTTCTTACTGCAGTCCTTCTTGTTTGTGCATCGTTATATTATGTAAAAGTGACATTCCCAAATAAATGTTTTCTCGGATCTTCTTTTCTATTCTAATTTCCATCTTGATGAATTATAGGGATATAAAAAAAGACAAATACAGTCTTGTTTCTGCTTTCGCTTGTCTTGCCAAACTGTTGTTTTGTTTTGTTTTTTTGTTTTTGTTTGCTCGTTTTGCAGGGGAAATTCAAGGGACAGAGACAAAATATCACATTGTCATTATGATTATCGGTCCTGAAGCATGACCGAGCAACAGCTCTAAAATTAAAACCATGCTCCCCACCAAATCACGTTTAACTAATATTTGCTATAATAGTATTTACCTGTGTTGTAGAACAAGGTGGCGATGAAGGTGCAGTTCCTGAAGAACGTGTGTGTGGAGGTGACGTCCTCAAAGTAGCACTCCTCAAACACAGAGTCTTCAAACACCATGGACTTCATCTTCAGGCTGAGGAACCTGCACACACAAGCTTCAGATAACTCAATTGCACTACAGACTTTTGAATAAATAATTCCTCTCGTGACAGGGGTGTCAAACTCCAGTCCTCAAGGGCCTCTGTCCTGCAACTTTTAGATGTGCCTCTGCTGCACCACACCTGAAAAGAATAATTAGGTCATTAGCAAGGCTCAGGAGAACCGATCTACACAGGGAGGAGGTAATTAAGCCATTTCATTCCACTGTTTTTTACCTGTGGCACATCTAAACACTGCAGGACAGCGGCCCTTGAGGACTGGAGTTTGACACCCCACATTGTGAATGACAACCTGAGACCAACAGGTTAAGAATCGGACTTTTCACACAAATGCGTACGTTGGATTAATCTGACTAAAACTTTTGGAAAAAGCCTTCACCGTCACAACGTGTCACTGTTCCTGTCCCTGTTTTATTATGTTTAATCGTGCACTTTAAAGGGAATGATGATTTTCACAAAGTTTAAAAGCTTTTGAAATGATTCATAATTGATTTATGATCAGTTCTAAAGTTTACACAATGATCCAATAGCTTTAAATTCTCACTTGTCTTTTCCTTCCTCAGCTTCTGGCAAAAACATAACGTTTTTTGGCCAAATATTCTCTCTGATTTTAGATGATTTGCAGCTGGAAGGATTTTTCTTGATACATTTTTATTTATGGACATTTGCTATGATGCATAATCAAAGAAATGAGGCGGTTTGCAACTGGAAGCAGCTGATTAACATCCCAAAAGCAGAAATAATGCTTCAACTGCATCCACAAATCCTTAGATTTGCAGTAAAACAGACTGCTACATGAGATCAGCCTTGCCCAGTCAGTATCTACAACAACCTTTTGAAGAAACTCTGACAATATAAGTTATAACAACATTTAATTTCCCTTTAGGATTAATGGAGTATTTTTGAATTTGAATTGATCAGAGGGGGGAGTCACTAAACACGTGATGTACAGTATGTGCCAGATGAAAAGACCTTCATAGACTTTTGATTTTAGTCCATTTAATTGGTATTTTGAAGATTTAGATCCAAATAGACTTTTGTTTTTTATGTTCTGGAAATGAAACACATTTGCGTGGTAAATAATTGGTTGATTTTTGATTTTGTTATAGTCTCATCCCAATATGATCTTGAGTTTCAATTGAACTGTCAACAATGTGATCTTCAAAAGAACCATTTCAATCATATGCAAATATAACTCATTTTATCTAACAGAGGTTATCATGTCCCACGTTTGCTACACATCAGAGTAAGAAGAAAGCCCTACTTGGCATTAAAATAGTATCCATCGCGATGGACTTGGTTTTCCAGGGTGAAGTTAAAAGTGACGTGCTCCACTCGCTCCTTGGTGAAGGTCTTTGTCCGTGATTCATATTCCTGCTTCTGGATGTACTTGATCATGTCAGGGAACCACACCGTCAGCCCGTAGTAGCTGCAAGGTTTTTTGAAGACAAGACAGATGGAAGAAGCACCACAATTAAGCAGGATATATATGTGAGATACTACAGGAACAGTGACGGGGCTCTTCGGTTCACCTGAAAGACATGCTGAACCAAACAGCCATGAGCATAAAGGTGGTCCTTTTGTATTCAGGGCTAAAGCAGGCAAGAATGTTTTTGCGTATCTGCAGCGTGTGAAGAGAGAAAACACAAGATTAATTTAAAAGACATAAATCCTTATCTGGGTTTGATCTAATTACTCTTCAAAGCTAATTTCTAAGCTTTGCATATGAATGAAATTTGAGAATCAAAACCAAGTTCCAACCCTCGTTGTTAAGTGTTATTTATTCAGGACGGAGGGTGTAGGAGTTGCATTTAGCAGAAAGTAGGCTGAATACATCAAAATCTAACAGAACTGTGTCACAGTGCTGTGGCTGTGCTGCAGATTGTGACATAAAAAAACAATCTGGGTTTAAAAAAAAAAAAAAAGCACATTTGTAACTCTGACAGTTTTACCAACCTGTTGGGAGAGACTCATAATCTTCAGCCTGTAGCGCTGCCAGACGGGGGTGTCGGTGCCAATGTCCACCAACTCATCAACCTGCTTCACAGTCTTTATTGTGGTGACCTTGGAGTAACCAGACACAAGACAGTCAGAGGCTTTCATAGAAGCCAATCCAGGAAATATGTTTAAAAATAATCATTGAAAACCTTGTTGGCTTAAGCTTATTTCATATAAAAACTACGTAGAGAGAAAATATTTGCCCCATTACAGTTCTCTGTGTTTTTTTATTTTGTTGTTGTTGTTCTTGTCAAACTTACGTACTTCAGATCTTTATTGACAAAGATAACCAGAGTAAATACAAAAAGCGGTTTTCAAAAGATTTATTAAATGTTAAACATATTTTTATGTTGATATAATTTGGTACTGCACAAATAAAAACCAATTTGATTTTACTAATAAAACAAGATTTAAGCTCACAACTCAATTCATTTTCTGACCCTTCAGAGCCTAGAAGTCAATTAAACAAATAAGCAATATATAAATTATACAACACAATACATTCTGAATGTTGCACAGTAATGATACAGGTAACTGCAAGATTGCGAGACGTTTTTCCCAGCTAGCATTTATGAAGTGATGTTTATTGTCTGTCGCCTCTTGGAATCTTTTTTCAACTTTTGGTTTCAGTGATTGCAACAACTATTTCTTGAGGATACTCACAGTGAACACCTTCTCTGGGTATCCTTTCGCTCTCATGTTTGTGTCATGAACTTGCTTCAGAATCATCCAGCCTTCATCATGCTTCCCATTCTGTTTTGAAGAGGAAGATAAAGACGTGTCACCAAGAAAGTAAATTTAAAAATATATATATTCCACCAAGTGTTTAAATCGGTAAAATCTCAAGCAATGTGTAAAGCTCTAAAAAGACTGATTGTCATCTGTTATGCACACCTCTAAGTAGAAGCGTGGGCTCTCAGGCATGGCGTTGAGTGCGGCGATGGCGGCAACAGAAGGAAACGCACAGACCAGCACAAACACTCGCCAGCTGTGGAACTGATACGCTGAGCCCATCTGGAAACTCCACCCTTGGAAGTAAAGACAAATAACAACAAAAGACATTTAACCAAACAGAAACAGGGAAATTAGTTACAACCATACGTCAGTATAAAGTCAAAACTTATACTGGTGAGTTAACAGGCTGAAACACAATATAAAGACAAAATATCTTGTCTTTGTTTGCTCAGAGGGGTGAGTTTCAGCTCACAAACAGTTTTTTTTTTTTTCAGTGACTGTGTGTAACATGCAATAATTAACCAGATGGTGTTTGGCCGAAAATGGATCTCTGCAAAATACCGCCTTCATGTTTTGGATCATTCGATGAAAGTAAATCAGATATAGCAGCTCCACATATTTGTTCATGGTGCATGTTCACGTTACTGAGTCACTTGAAGTGGGTGTTATAAGTACCTCCATTGTTACAATTGCTGGAAAAAAGACAACTAGTAATAGAGAGAGAGAGAGAGAGAGAGAGACAAATATGGGGGGTTAATTTTTTTGTTTGTTTTTAGTTTTTAGTGAAAATGAGTGGTTATAGAGTAGGCCACTTAAATTTGTCTTTAAATCACAAAGGGCTACAAAGATTCAAAGATTATTTGAATTTGAATTAACAGGATCCTTGCAAGATTACATAAAAATTATGCTAGTTTGCAAGCCGTAGTGCAAGTCCAAAACAATTTTTAAAAAATGACAAATAACAAATGTTGGCAGAGCAGGACTGCAGAATGGAGGCAAACTTTATATATATGTTTACACAGATTAGACAGTAAAAGCCTGAGACCAGGGGGCTGGAAAGGAAGACTAGAACTGACTCAAATCAACAAGCAGCACACAATGAATTTGGAAGTAAATCTGAAAAGACTGTAGAGCCCAACATGTTGGCCTTAACGCTCCTTAAAATCTCTGTGTCGTGATCATTTGTATTTCCATGCTCACCATAGTGTGGGATGATGGCCCAGGCCATGGCGGACGCATAAATTCCTCCAATCATCCAGAACATGCAGAGCCAGCTGAGGTGCTCGCCGCGCTTCTCTTGGGACAGAAATTCAGAGTAGTAGGAGAACACGATGGGAATGGAGCCACCAATTCTGTAAAGGTCAGAGTCCAAAGATCAGCGTTGGGGAGAGGTGTTTTAAATCATTGTAAAAGAAAGTATAACTTTATTTTTAATTTGTTCACTTTATAGCCCAAAATGCCAGAAAGCATTTGTGTAGTGGTTCTTCGCCCTGCGACTGTCCTGTGTGTTTTCAGAAATTCCCCTGCTTCATCTTATTTGCTTGCAATGAATGGATGATTAATCTAAGGTATTTGCTGCCAGATTGAGGAGATAATTCAGCCATTTTAATCAAAATTGCTGCAGCAGGAAGTTATTTAAAACCACTTATATTATCTGGACCAGTGACACAAGACGACAGTGAATGTTTGGCAGAGACAGTTTGACTTGTTGACTTTTATTGTGCTTGTTTTGTTGTCTCGTTCGGTACCAAATAACTTTGCTATTGTTGCTTTAAATCATCCACATAGTTGCTATTTATTCCGCTGCACAGGACACAGACTTTTCTGATTTTGTTTAAAGAGTAAAAGTTACAGTGTCTTTAAAAGGTTCAATGTATTTTCAACTAAGCTGTACATCATCCAATGTTTAGCTGTAGTCTGCTCGTAATAAACAACTTCTAATTTGTCTTTAGGAACTTTGTTACTAGAGGCTTGTTGTACGTTATTCCCAGTGAGAGTTTCTTTGGTCCTGTCGCTAATAAATAAAAAGAGACAAGCAAAAACCTGAAACCAAGGAACTGCTTGACCTTAAGATGATTGATCTGCCTTGAGCCTCGAGGAATCAATACAAAAATACAGTTCTTACTCAGTACATACCAGAATGTGTCACTGTTGGCATTTTTCATTTAAAAACTCAAAGCACTAGGAATAAATTGTGTATTTGTGACTGGCTGCAAGTAATAAAGTGCCTAGAGATTTAAAATCAATTCTTCTCTTAGCTGCCTGTCATGTATAGACACAACAGTGGTACTCTGAGTTTAAGACCATAGTTATGTTTGATTTATGGAAGAAAACATTCTTCTAAGCAGCTTTAAAAATGAATGATGAAGATGACTTTAAGGGATTATGAAGTCTGGCTGCTTGGAAGCAAAACATAAAGACATAAGGGATGACTCAAGCTTCTCCTTCTGCCCTGTGTGATCATAGAGTAGGTTATTGATTGTAACTAACTGGGAATGATGTTGACCTTTCAATTCACCAGTTCAGATGAAGTGGAAAATACTGGAACAACAATAAAACTCTACAGGACAATAATTGTTCTCTTAGGGAATAAGAGAGTTTTACATTGATTTTGTGTTACAAACATCAAAAATACTATCAAGTGGGGTGGAAAACATTACTAATCCAATTACAGAGTGATGTTCAGATAGTACGTGACGTGCTGGATAGAGGAATTCACAAAAAGAGTTAAAGGTGCAATTACCCAACACCCGAGAGGAGGCGGCAAAACAGAAAAGTGCTGTAACCCTGAACGAAGGACGAGAAGAAGGAGAAGATACTGTTGATGGACAGAGAGATGATGAGGGACTGCCGACGGCCTATCCGGTCTGCCATGGCCCCCCAGAGGAAAGCCCCAACCATCATCCCAAAGTACACGATGAGGCCTGTCAGGAGAGCAAACGAAACGTTTTAGCTTTCAACATTTGATGTTTACAGACTTTTTTCTATCAGCCAATTCTGAGCAAAAATGCTAATTCACTGTCTTATTAATCTTTGATATTATGTCCTTTACCTGTGTGGTGTTTGATTGCTACCGAGTGTGTTGAGGCTGATTAAATAAGGAAAGGTCTGGATTCTAGCAGTGTGGAGCCATGAGCGAAAGAAGGTCAGATATGGAAAGTGTGAATGAGGACAAAACGTATTTGAAAGTAAGATTTATACGTTGAGTAATGCTAATATGGTTCTGTATATGCACTGTAAAAAAAAAAGAAAAAAAAAAGGTGTGTTTAAAGATCATTTGGGATTTCAACAAATGGGCTAAGATATCCTCTTGGTTCAGGTTTCCTAGTACGGCATGCAGTTTCAAATTAAATCCTTTGTTGTGAAGTTATTTGAACCTCTTTCCTCAAGCATCTTACTCCAGCAGTTTGAAGGGATACACCACATTTGAATTTAACAATTGAAATATTTGCCCTTACCAGGTTGTTGTTCTGTATCAATTAAATTGCCATAGCTGGCTTGGTAGGAAAACAATCAGTAACATTTGGGAAAGTCCTGAAAAATATCCTTTAAGTTCCATAGAGAAAGTCTTTAACTTCAGGAAAGTAAGTCCCAAGAAAGTTGTAGAAAGTACTCATTTAGTTTCTAGAATAACAATTTCCAAGGTACAAATTCTAGTCAATTGTCCTGTAAGTTCAGAAAGTAGCCAGTAAAATCCTACAAGTTTCTACTAAGTTTTTGTATTTTATGTAAACTGGATTATGAAGCTGTAAGTTCCACAAAATAACCTCCAGATTTTTGGAAAGTATATTGTGCATTCAGGATTATAACTCGTAAATTATGTCAGCGTTAGATGTCCATGATCCCTCTTTCTGATCAGCTGGTAAAGGTTTTTAGAAAGTACTTTAAAATCAGAGAAATACACAAACGTTTCAGACAATTTCTGGGAAAGTATCTTCTGAGTTCCTGAAAGTAACCAGTAAGGTAACTAGCTGGTGAGTTCACTGAACGTTTTGGAAACCAACCTGAAAAACTGCAGACTTTATTCTGTTAAGCCATTAACATTTCCTGCCTTCCTGTGTAACCTTTTCCCTAACAGTCATTGGAAAATTAAACAGAAGAGCTCTTTCTTTGTCAGAATTCAATTTTTTATCTTGCTCTTGTACCTGCTCTAGATTATCTCCCAAAATTTTCACGGAGCATAAACAGAGATGGATCTCCGGGAATCTATTAGCAGCAAAGTGTGCGGCATCATTCCTGAGAACGTAAGTCTCTAAACCATTAATAATAAATAAAACTAAGACCACCGCTGCAGCTAGAGTTGAAAATTCCCCAGAGACTACTGGCATATGTGGAACTGACTCAAAATAATCATCAGTACACGTGTGAACAGCGTGATGAAGGAACATGTCGCCAAGAGCAACAGTGAGTCATTGAAGTGTTTTAAATAGGACTTGAACAAGTACCTTAATCTCTGACACACAGGAGTATGTTCCCTCAGAAATGATCACCAGTGGAGTCTTACCAAGCATGCTTTTGCTGGGTTCAGACAGACACATGTCCTTCTCTGCACTGGGGAGGACAAACCCCACCACGAAGATTTCCACGCCATCGGCCATCAGTGCCAGCCCCAGCACGAAGTACAGGGTCCACTGGAACTTCCCGTGGCCGCATTCCTGTAAAATGGTCTCGTACTGCTGAGCCAGCTCCTCCTGGTCCTTCCGCCTCGCCGCCTCGGATGCCCCAACATCTTTGAACTGCTGAGCCCCGGCTGTTATTGACCCAGGACCTCCGGCCAGGTCGCCTTTCCCAGAATCGGCCCTGGGGATTCCTTGGTACTCCCCCTCGTAGATCTCGTCGTCCTCGTCATGGCCCTCGGTGGAGTCACTGTGGCCACCCTCGTCGTCGTTGGCGGCCTGGCTGTCGCTGCGGTAGTAGCCTCCTTCTTGGCTCCCCTGCATAGGGTAGTCATCGTCGTCCTCTTCAAAGCGGCTGTAGGACCTCTTGCTGTACTCGTCGCTCATCCGATCCACCGAGCGGCCAACTTTCTTTGAGGCTTGCCGCTTGACTTCTTTTGCAATGTCTTTGGCACCTTTTATGAAAGCAGTCCGGTTTTGATAGCCGTCCTCCATTTTAAAGACAATTTAGAAGAAGCGATACAGGAAAAAGATCTTGCTGAGAGGCCTCTGAAGGTGAAGGGGGGGTTCCTGTGTTCAGGACAAACCAGTCGACTCCCAGCTCACTTGATATACTCCTGAGGAGACAACACATATGAAGTGAAAAAAGGTTTTACACCAGTTCTGTCAGGAGGAATGGGCCGAAATTCCAGTAAACTATTGTGAGAAGCTTTTGGAAGGAAACGCAAAAGTCAACCAGCTTAAAGGCAATAACTTCTGATTTGAAAACATAAAGTGAGATCAATCCTTGCCTCCTACTGTTTTTTTTTACAAATCACATAATTAAACCGCAGAACAATTGGACCTCTGCGTGATTGAGAAGTCCTTCAGATGGCACCAGATTATTAAAACAACATCCCTACAAGTCACCACATCGTATCTGGATCAGTTCCACGAGCCGTTTGTAATAAAGGGGAAACCAGCTGCTTTAATAAGCGTGATCTGTGTGGCTCGGCTGATTGAAAGGCTACTCAGGTTAGCTGGGGAAAGAGGTGGGACATTCAGTATGGCTGTGAGAATCCGGACGAGTTTCCCCAGGACCCAGCTAATTCTGAGCTGAGCTATATCCTGCAGAGTTTGGTATCTGAGTACCGAAGAGGTAAATAGCTGGTCAGGT